CTTATAGATTGATTTCTGCTATAGCTTCGCTCGTGCAAGCTTCTCACTCCATCTCGGACCGTTTTCCCACTAGTCTGCGCTGTCGAACGTCTAGGCGCACAAGGCCACTAAATTACGCTCATTTCAGAGGGAGAGAGAAAAGCTTCTAGGGTTGTAGATGGCGCTTTAGGCCATCGTGAAGATGGGCGGCAAACCTATGTCTACCCTGCCCTGTTGTATGTCGGTTCATCATAGACAGGGCGTTAAAACTGGTAATTTTGATGTTAGTGCTAACCTCAGTCGTCGCTTACAAGTCTAACTACGCCAATAAACAGTAGCGAGCCTAAAAAAGCAACTATCCCAAATGCTAAACGCCTGTCATTTCATGGGTGGGCACATGTATGCAATAAATATATTTAAAAAAAAGTGAGAGAGCCGATTATGGGTTATGATAGCCCTATGAAAAAAACATACTATATAGATTATGATAGCAAAAAATGGCCCAATGACAAGATAGAAATTTCGTTCTGTTAATGGTGGTCAAGCTTTACTACACATGTCACATAGCATTCAGTCATATAAATACAACAAATCAAAATTAAAACACTTACAACCAACTCATTGTTATTGCTATACTAGAAACCAGTTTAAATACGTTTTCACCACACGGAACAATGACGCGATGTTTGCCTATTTTGTACACATCTAGAGGAGGCATTATATTTCACATTGCGGACGGATCCCCGCTTCTCACATGAAGTCACATGAGTGGCCAGATACATTGATTATATCAGGAACTCGAAAGAAGGTGACTAACCAAATTGGAGCATTTCTGGTGTTTGGAAAGAAATTAGTAAGACTGATGTAGTTACAAGTTTACTGTCCACTTTTTTCACACGAATAATCTATGCTAACATGACAAGAATGTAACCAAAGCGTAACAATTTAAAAGAAAGAACTTCAGTACCAATCACACTAAAGTGCGGAAGTCAATCCCTGTAGTCGAACAACGATAACATGTTTGCCGGATAAATTTAGTGACACGTAATGAGAGGGTTTAGATTTGACACCGAATGTACGCCCTTTCTTTTTAGCTGGAAGGAGTCAATCGTTTAAAGTAATGCTTAATGGTAGCATCGGACGTAGGACACCTAATAGCCAGCCTAACTAGCTATAAACTTGTCCTAGAGTGAATAGGAAATCGAGCTTCAAAAAGTAGGTCGTTCTTGTTTATTGCGTTCTATCTATTATAGACGAAGTTCTACAACTACTTTCCACATCCTGTAGTGAAACATGTGTGTCGATGTTTGGGTTAGATTATAATAACGCTAACATCACTCTTCAAATCAGATTCCTTTTTGTTTTTGACATACTGTATTTAATTATAGGCGGTTTAGGTGCTGATGAGCGGTATAGCGGCGCTTAAGAGCACGAGTTCCCATAGCTAGAAAAGAAATAATGCGCAGATTAAGTCCTTCGAAGAAGAATACGCTTCCAAATAAAGCCAGTTTCAAAGCAAGGTTCCATTCCAAGGTTAGCGCTAGAAGATAGGTTCAACCGTCGAAAGGGACACAGCACACGTAGAGTTTCGAAAAGATCGGAACCGAAAAGAAGTCCAGAGAGTATAGCAAGAATCAACTGAGCTTAGCGGTCGGTCTGTCGTAGGATAACACGACGAATGAACATGGTGCAGCTCTCTTTGCGAGACAAGAAGAAAAAGTAAGCCACGCGACGATGGACTAACGACGAAGAAGGGAGCAAACGGGTGCTCTGCAGGAGATAGATGAGAGGTACTAGTAAAAGATAAGGAGGTTGATGAGGAGTGTGGGTGGCAGTCATGGCGGGTACGGGACTGATCGTTGTGGATGAACAAGCGAACATATAAATGAAACGAGAATGAGGTAGAGTACCAGGAAAAAGAAGGACGGAGGATGCCGTAAGGGCTCCATAAAGACGCCACCGACAAAAAAAACGACGACAAATAAAGGAACCAGGAATAGAAAGAAGCCGAGAAACATAAAACTCAATGGGTTCTTTCTCCATCTTCGTTGTATTTGCTCTCCCGTTTTCTCTCTGTCCCACTGTTCGGTATTTGTCTATCCCGCTCATACGTATGTGCACTCACTCAGCACTTCTGCTTTCGGTTTTCATCTTGGGCCAATCACCCCCTTCGGCTGCAATGGTTGCCGTCTGCTTCGTCCCCAACAACGGTAGCAGCGAGAGGTTGGCGCCAAAAGCAGCAGTCAAGTGAGCACCTCTTGAGCGAAAAGCGACCTGTAATGCGAACGCAGAACAGCAACGTGTGCGAGTGGACTATTTAAAACACGGACGTGTCTCGTTGACGGTAGGAGTTTTGTTGAAAAAAAGGTGAACTACAGGAAGGATCCCTGTGGGGCGGGGTGAGCAGAAGAAGAAGTAGAAGGCCCGTCAGCTCCCAAGAGTTGCTTGCTGCTTCAAGCTGATCATCTGGATCTCCACCGAGTTGATCCCGCCCACTTTTGCAGTCACCTGTACGCTCTAACGACAATATAACCACTCCCCTCTTCTCCCCTGTTCATTGCCGCCATGTCGCCCACAAGTGCGACCTAGCCTGTCTGTCTGATTAGAATGAGCTGCAAATCTTTCTTCTGTTCGAACCACTGATGGACCCACTTTCTCTTAACGAAACAAAACGCTGCTGGGTGCTGTTCGAAAAGAAAAAGAAAAGCATCCTTGTTATCTATGCTAGCGAGTTACCTCTGTCCAGAGAGCAACGCATCTTATTTCCGTTAGGTCATTTGTTCAGCGCATGACCTTGCATTTAACGCGAGTCCTTTCATATAGTACTAAAGTTCGGTATCCACGTAAGCCGTAATTCAAAAAACGTATCTTTTGTACTCTGTTTCTCGTATATTCTACACCGCTGTTCATTTGTTTAAGTGAATCGAAAGTTGAATCTGATTTGATTGGACATGTGCGACAAATTACAGAGTCAGCATATAGCGAGGGTTCGAGCATCGATCTTTTACCAACGATTGCATAAAGCTTTTTATTTGAGAATTCTAATGTATCTATGCTGGTAGACTGCGCGTGCGTGGATTTCCCGCTGGAAAAATGTTATGCCACTTGGCAACGCTTATCCTTTTGTTGATATATTTGCCACTGCGCGCGTTAAGAGCGAGTTCTACGCCATACTGGATGTAAACGCTTCTGTATGCACTAATATTACACGAGAATACCTCTTCCAAATATTCAGACAGCCGCTCAGAGTGTCTACATTTTTAGGCGCCAACACGTTGAGTGGTTGTACCTATTGGACTTTCACCTCGTAGCGCGGCCTCGACAAACTCCCGCAGGCAGTCTTTCTGCCAGTCCTTCCGTTCTCGTGCATTCTTTTTCCAAGACCAACGCCCTTCTTTTCAGGAAAAGCTATTTTCTAGTCTTCCCTTAAGATCCCGTTTTTCAAAGAAGAGATGACGCAGGGTGACGTTAGGCAGACAGACAAGGAGAGACAGGTTAGATAGGTCAATTGTCCCAACGGAAAGTGGGGAACAAATAAGGGTTGGAAGGAATAGTAGCAGCAAGAGGGTTAGTAACGGGAAGGGATTTGGTGCTTTGAAGGGTTCTTGCCAAACGATTCTGACGGATTTCATGAGAAAGCGCACGCTAAGCCTTCAGTCGAAGGGAAGGGAGCGCTGTGTGCTGGTATCACCCGGACAGTCGGCCATATACAGGCACTCACAGGCTCTGCTCCCAGTTCTAACGCCCATTCGATGGCAAGAAATCCCCACCAAACCCTGTGACATGCACTGGGATGTATCACCTGGAACATGTGCTCATTGCCTTTTCTTTCAAGCTACCAACGCCGCCCGAAACCACGGCCCGCTCCCTTGCTTCTCTCATCTCTTTTTGCCCATCGAGCCCTTCAAACTCTTTTGCTCCACCCCTGCGTGCTCTTTTCTCTGTGTACCTGCCTCTTTTTTACTTGGAGGCTGGCAGCGGGGAAGCAGACGGGCAGAGAGCCTGCCTACGCTTCCTCTCACCGGCTTATGTCACGGGACGTAAAGTTGCTGCTATTGAAAAGCCAGACCGGCTTTCCGAAGCCGTTACGCTGCTGGGCCAAGAAACTGTTCGACCTGGTTGAACGCTCCGGCGACAATGCCGATTTTGTTCGAATCTATGAATTGGATAGTCAAAAAGAGCACCTACCCTTCGTCCTGTCACCGACAATAAGTAGGGAGACTTTTGGCTGGCAATAGAATGTGAGTTCAGGTTATATTTTTGGATTAAAATCTGGAATGCTTTCTACAGACAGCAATAAGGCTCTACTCTACGCATTTGAAAAGGAAGTCGGTTTGTATATATTGAGCATGACGGCTTGAATCGAGTGCAGGTGCCGATGCGACAGCTACCTGGCTGTCTGCGGTATACAGGTGAGCGATATGTCAGTCTCAAAATCATGTCCTAACTAACAAGAAAATGTCCTAACTCAGTATGTTTCCTGGCAGTTTGGCTGTAAAAATGAGCCGCCTGGAGGTTGAGGTGTCCTCTCATTACAATGGCGTCACTCGAGTTGTCCTGTTGCACCCCGGCCTTTCCCCGACCCTCTCCCTCCGGCGGGTGCTGTGCTTCTGTTCAACCACATTCAGCCACCGTGGACTCCTGTTACCCTTCCCTACGGGGGACTACGCGCCTGTTCGTTACAACACCGTTTAGGCTATGCGGTCGTTGTCGGGACAAGTGATTTACCTATGGAGGTAATGACAGCACGGGACGCGCGCCGAACGACACTCTGCTGTGTGTGACCGTGCCTTGGTGCGTTAACTGGTGTATCGGTGAGTGACTGGTAGAGTTGTACTTGCTTCGTGCGAAACAGTCGGCCCTCGCCTCGAATCCTCGCTACAAGGATTGCGAGGGCCTCCCCTCCCTCGTTCTTCATTAAAGGGCCTTTTCTTGAAGATCTCTCGCTCCTCCGGGCCCCTCTCGCGATCCACTTCTAAGGTCCGTACACACGTTGTGATGTTTTGACATTGTTTCTCGTATCAAGTGCGACTATGTCGTCAAAATCCGTTCGTAAGATAACTCCAGGTCTGGAACCGGATTTGCTGCCCGGCGCCATGCGGTGGTGATCGCGCTCGCTCGCCGGCTGCGCTGCGCGCCCCAGCGCTCCGCGCCCTACGGACAGCCAGGCAGCTGCTTCAACGCAAAGGCCCCCTGCTTCAGCACAGCCGATAATAGACCAACCGCTCAGCAGGATATTAGCAGAGACTTTGCTCCAGAGGACACAAGTTTGAAACCGTGAGCCGAAATCGAAGTCCTGAATTCCAAGCACACCGTGAACGGATCTCTGCAGGCCAACAACGACAACAAAAGAACCAGGTGGTAGCAACAAGAGGCAGCCGCAACAACAGCAGCGGCGGCGGCGGTGGAGACCCGCTCGGTGTCCCGCGGCGCGCGTCGGGGCGTGACACAGCCGTGCTCGTTTCCTCCCGCCAGCTGTAGTTGCGGCGCTGCTTTGACTCTTCCTGGCTACTCCTTAATCCGGGTTGTGGGCCCGGCGCAGTCTCCGGATCTGGCCACCGGCCGATTCAGTCGACCTGGCTGCCAACCGGCCGACGGCACTTCGGGTGCCCCGCGGCCTCCGCGCCATTCAACGCGTCACCAACCGTGGCCGAGTTCCAACCGTCCGCGCTGGATATCATCGCTTGTCCTACCTCAAGCACTGCTGTTTTATACAACAGCCTGCCTTCTGCGTTACGCAGCACCAGCAGCAGCAGCAGCTAAAACGAAGGCGCCAGCTAGAGCGAAGAAACGCCGCCGCAGCAGCAGCAGCATCCGAACGACAGGATAGCAGCAGCACCAACAGCAGCAGCACCAACAGCAGCAGCAGCAGCAGCAGCGGCAACAGGAAAGGCAACTTCAGCACATAGAGCTGCCAAAGCTTGCTCCTGCTGTCCGGCCGCAAAATGCAGCGCTGACTAGTGAATCCCCAGGGCCGATTGTGTTCAGTGACTGAGGATAGCCTGGGAACTTCCTGAGTGCCAATACAAATATCGACAATAAAATGCGTGAGTGTTCATAATCTGCTGTAGCAACGCCATTGATCATAATATAGTGAGTGTAGTGCATAAGTAACTGTGCTGAGCTTTCTGTGCTTGAAAAGGATTATGCTATCCAAAGGATATAATCAAATTACGATTTGATATATAGTCGATAAAATATGCAAGTCGGTTTGCTACTATGCCGTTGTGTGAAGCCAAACAAAGTCCTAGCACATTTCACGGAACTTTAAAATTAATTCACAGTGAGGAGTTCTGCAGGATACGGACGAACAGCAGGCGGTGCCATCGCCCCGGGTGGTTCCGTTGTTTGCCGAACTGATCTTGGGCGCCTCAATAAACACCATCCATCTTGAGCCTCAAGGATATAGCTGAGAGTACTTGCTGTTTACATTTCAGATATCAGCCCCCTTTTCCCCAGAAACCAGTTGAAATTATATAGGGCCTGTTTTTGTCTTAACATTTCTTTACCACAAACTCTAGACGAGTCGAAATTTAGAAGCGAGCCGTTTCGCTGGATAGAATATTAGATATGCGATCTCATACGTGATATCATCCCAGAAGATTGATTCCAGCATAATCATTACATGGACCTTCAAACACTTTCTTGTCGCACGTCCTTTAACCAATATATGTACTATTATTTCGTAGGGCCTGAATGTGCAAATACGTACATAATAAATACTGCAAGCCGTTCAAAGCCTTCCGAACCGAGTGTCAATAGCAGATGTCGCTGCATCTAATGATCTGTCGTCACTTGATCATTTTCCATAGGATGCTCGCTTAGCATTTCGCAGAATGTTAGAGCCAATTTGTGATTCACATATATAGGGACTGCACCCTGTCTATATTGATCACGATTGCGACGCGACATAGGCGAGCTCGAACTGGGGGACGTGTGTCCTGCCCCGTAGGCCAGCCACGCTGCTAGGACTGTTTTTACTAACCAAGTAGTTGCACTGGCAGTAGTAATAGTGGTGCTGGCAGCAGAAGCTTGGTGTAGCATTAGGCCTTACTTACACAGTCTCCAGTATCATGATTAGCGGTGTTGCGACCAGAGAGGAGACCGGGAAAGGCGGCGTGGGGAGCACCTATCCTCAGCAGCGAGCTAGGAGTAGTGTTGTTTATTATGCTCATGGCCGCTTGGGTGACTACACGATACGCAAACGCCGCTGGCCACCACTTTGCCTGACGATATTGAATATACGAGACAGTATACCAACAGCAGCAGCAGGCATCGATAGGAGCACAGTCAAAGTCAGTGCCTTTTTGTTCCCTTAGTATAAGATGCGCGCCCATGTCCATGTTCTATATATAATGGCTATACCAAATCAGAAAGCATATTGCATCAGAGTCCATTATATCGTTACGGGTGGTAAGAGATACTACTTTTTTCATTATTTCACCTCATTTTTCCAAACATGATACTGATGCCCCTACACGCCCTTCTACCCAGATAATTGCTCTACGGCAAAACATCACAAGCGGGGTGAAGATGATGATAGCCTAACGTGTTCACACCTCGAAAGCGTTTTCAACAACAGTTATGCTCGAGTAAGCTAAAAGTACACTGAATCTTCGAATGTGCGGCTGTATTGATGAAAGGTAATCTGTAGACATACTATCTTCCGTGGAAAATAATCGTGTGATCCCGCTGGCTAGGATGGCATAAAGTTTCAGCTTGTGGCAAAACTAGCGGAAATTGGGCGAGAAAAGGAGATTGCAAGAAAAGTTTGAAAACAGTAACTTTTATACTTAAGATGTACAAGATCTGTTCCTCGTCGCTTCTTCCCTTTTACCCCGCTCTTACGCCCATCTTTGAAAATCTCAAAGTAGGAGGTAGAGCTAGACAGAAGACCTACCAAAACGGACAAAGGCTTAATTGGGACATTAAGACAGTACAAGGCAAAGCCAATAGAAGCTTGATATCTTTGTTTAATTATCGCGGGCGAAAAAAAAAGCCATAATTAGTTCTTGACTTACTGTACTCATATTTCGAAGGCCGCGATGAACTGCCATTAGCCCGACTATTGTGGCTTATGAAAATGATGTTACGCTGTCCGAGATGCGACTTTCCTTAAATTAGAATCATCCTGTATAACCACGCTTTTGAATGTTCACATCCTGCGCACACAAACTGCGTGGACAACAATGATGCGCCGTGCGTTTAAATGGGGCACCGATTGCTGCGGGAGAACAAAAAGTATCACAGAAGAACAAGTCTATATCAACTTCATCATTCCATGCCTTATCACATTCCCCTGTAAACGTCGTTTGATATGGAATCTCTCTTTTGGTAAAGGCATTCTAGACCGACGTGTGCCTCTAACAATATTGTGTTTTCTACGAACAAGCTCGAAATGTCACTCTTCTTTATCTTGAACCGTTTAGGTCTTCCTTTTACGTGAAACTGAATAAGCAGCGCAAACCTTTTTGCCCCTCATTTACTGAAAGGTCGCCGCCGCCGCCGACGACTGTGTTGATTTTTCACTCTTTGATCAGTGTCTAACAGACGTCCTTTTATCTTAGCACGACGGTCTGATATTTCCGCATTCGATCATTCTTGCTTGTCAGCGGTTTTGAAATAAATCCAGAGTGTAACACTTCAAAATGAAAATGCAGTGTTTTTTTTTTACTCGAACTTTCACCATTACCTTTCAACATGAACGACGAAATGTCATGAAAAAATACGTAACAACTTTCACGTACACATATCTATCTTGTTGAGAAACGCCCTCTTCCAATAGCCATTTTAAAACATCTTGCTTCAGTGCAGGATCGACATCGATGTCAAATTCATTGGCATAGATTAGCGTTTAATGCAAAAAAAGTTGTTCTTCAAGTATTTAGTGGTTCGAAGCAAACTACGTTTTTTTTTTGTAATACATACGTTTCCACGGTGGGAGATAAGAGGCAATTTGTTGCAGATTGCTCAGATGGGCTATATTTATTATATTAAAATATAATAATGCATCTGTTCTCTGCGTTCTGTTCTGTGAGCCTATCTGCATTTGTTGCTAATATTCGTGTTCGCACTCTCCGTTTGTTTCAGGTGTACATATACAAAAGCTGTGTAATCCCGCCATGTACATTTTACTGGGAACATTACTCCTTGGGTAAGTACAAAACATCATGGGGTGTTACATGCGGGCAACGCGTGCTTCTGTTAGTATTTCAATGACAATTTTATTAACCAAAAGGAAATTTGGCGCTACACGTAAGCTAGCCTGGTAGATATTTGAATAATACTCATATTCACACATTTTTTCAACTTGAGCCATTTTATACACAGCGGCAGATCTCTTGTACACCTATCCGGGTAGTGCCGGCCAATGTTGTAACGCCTTCCTAACGCTACTTTAGTAACCCCCGTGGCTACGTACCATTAATGAATGAAGGTATACTTGTACATGTCCGTCGGGTTTACCATGCAGAAAGGGCTAACCGTACAGATTTAGCTACCGTGCCCGATCCGCCATTATACCTAAGCGATTTTCTTTAATCGTTTAAGTTCTTAATACAAGCTTACCTGGCAATAATATTAGACTAATAAGGGCTTTTTTGCATTTTTTGTCCGTTATATACACATGTCTATATTAAAACTGAAGTCCAAGTCTAGCGTATATTTTCAGAGGTCCCAAGCCATCAAAAAGCACAAAAGGCAATATAGTTTCGACAACACTTTCTTCAGTGCACCTCGTAATTCATACTGATAGTGCTAAGGGCCGTTCAGCGAAGGTAATATTTGCGGAACTTCACTATCGATCAACTTAGCACTCATTTTGAAGGTGTCACCTGGAATCTAATACCAAAGGTGATTGTTCTTCGAAAATCCAAATGACCCACAGCTCCGCCATATCAATGAACATTGTCAGAGTGTATACAACAATCACTAAATACATCATTAAAATACATCAAAATTTATGAAAGGCTCTGTCAAATATTTCTACCTCTTGGGCACTAATGAGCTATGAGCTATAGTACGAGTAAAAAATTTGCGTCATAGTTCGCACAGTGGTCGAAGAGCAGGCAAATGGAACGTCTCGTAAACCGATCACGTAAACACTCACCATCTCCATGTATATATACATGTGACGCCATTAAGCTGATTATGTGTCACTAAACACGTGAAAGTGAAGAAACTTCAATGTGGGGCTTCCTAGGCGTTCAGATGAGAGATGTGAGTCTACAAAAGTTTAAGCCCTTTCATAGGCATAGAGTTTTTGACTCATACCATTCTGTTGGTATGTATTAGTGATAAAGACTCGTCCCAGGGCACCATGTTGTGTGAACACGCATCTGGTATATAACGAATAGATGGTTCTTTACTCAAACTTAGAAGCGGCCCATCAATGACCAGTCATCAGGTCGTGGCTCAACGATAACGATCACGCTAAACTGAACCCATTATGCAACGTTGCCATCGTATCAATACTCCTCCCACATTCAATATATGCACAGCATTATGGTCGTATATTACGGATTTTAGATATTGACGGTTCCCATTCAAGCCAACTCAGGTCGAACGCCTACGTATATGCTAGTCTAATGTATGTTGGTGTATGCCAGAGCTTTGGCTCGTCGTTTTGCAACAGTAAAGTGCTGAATATACAGACAGGCTGAAATTCCCATAGCTCTAATGTTAATTGGGTCAGCAAGTTAAAGAAGCCAACCGTTAAGCAGCTATACTATAGCATATAGCCGTACTATAATATCGTATGTAATCATTATATACTCGTATAGCCGTGGTGCTGATAATAATGGTTTTAAATAAATAGCTTACCCAAAAAGGATGGTTACTCGAAACGGCCAGTAAGGAAAAGTCCTGAAAATACGAAATGGCCTAGTAGTTCGACGGCTTGTATAGTTTTTCCTGAAGAGCTTCTGTTAAGACGAAAAGTTCTACAGAGAAATTTAACTGTAGAGCATTGTTTTTGTGTCAGGATTGGGCATGGGTTATATAAGGGGGCATATGCTGTATAAGAATGTTGCGTCTCGGATAAGAATCGATTTCGTAACTCCTATCAGCACGCCCCATACTAAGTGTTTGTGTACGAGATAGTAGACGTCGACTTGTTTCGCAACAAGAACGGAGCTTCAATCAATATTCCATTGCGTTTTTGAATTGCTCTAGAAAATATCTACCAAGTGGTGCGAACAGCGATCTTATGCTACCATAAAACGGCGCAGACGGAAACGTCTACATTAGTAGAAGCGGCAGTGATCCGATTCAACGTCTTTAGGAATACGAACAAGTCTGTGGGTCTGACAAGAGGTTTGCAAGTGACTGCCAATTGCTATATTAGGTTACTAGCCGGCTAATTAATTTTAAACACGCTCGTCTTTCCTTCAGTCCTTTCTTGTTTCCTCGGCCATTCAGCACTTTTTCTTCAGTTCCCTGTAACGGCTTGGCGGTCACGACGTTTGAGCCACAGGGAAAGGGGCCGCGCTCCTCCAGATGGGAGTACTGCTGCTTGTTTTGCTTTGCCAGCGCTCGCCACGTGATTGCGCGCATGGTGGTCGTTTTAGAAAGGAACCTTTGTCCTCTGTCCAAATCCACTCGGATTCGGCCGTCGCTCTTTTGGGTCCAGGCGAATGCTGGGCTGGCAGTTCCAAGGCGGCTGTTATGGCTGAGACAACGGTACTGGATCTACCGCCATGGCGACAGCTATCGCGCGATCGCAGTTATAGTCACGCTTGGTCCACGCGAGCCTTCTTCGACCATTAGTCCTGTACCCCAATCTAATGTCGGCAAGTTCAAATATGCTACTGCCTTCTTCTAAATGCTGCTTGCATTCATGGCTCTATTAGTGCACGTAAGACCATAAAGTTGTCACCAGTGTCGTCTGTGTTCTCCACCGCGTATTTCTCCATTTCTTTTTCATCCCGTCGCCTAGTTCTAATTCCCTCCCTATACTTTGAAGCACACAAACGAAGTTGCTTCCACCAGAAGTTGCCCATCATACAGAAGCCCGGAGTCAGCACCACTCCTTTTGGCTGTCAGGAGCCTTGCAAATACAAGGGTGTACGAAGCTATAGAAAAGGTAAAATAGAAGAGCTATGGAGCCGCTCCGAATGATAGCGATAACAACAGCGAATATTTTGCAAAAGAACCTGCGCGAGCGGAGACTCTGTCCTAATAGCTGACGTCAGACTCGTTTAAATCATCGAGCTCATTAGGCGTTAAGTTAGGATAGCCATTATGAAAGACTAAAATCAGTTCTAATTTGATTGGAGAGAAAAAAAACAAATGAAATAAGGTTATAAGTTGAGGTATAAAGAGTTACCTGGCGAAATGACTTGGTCGAAGAGGCGGAAGACTGTACGCGTTTTGTTGATGCTTCAAATCCACAACCTTTTTAATAGCTGTGTGCCTCTTAAATAGGTTTATGGCTAACATAAAAGGATATCACCCAAAACGTTTATATATAAGATGCTTATACTATACCGCCTGTTTCATATACAAAGCTCAGGCTTGCCGAACGCTTCTTAATTAGTCTACTTATCCCCTAGTGTCAACTAGATATGATGTTTTCTGTCAGGATAGGGTCCTTAGTGGCAAAATTTCGAGGCCAAACATGCCAATCGAGTCATAATATCTTGGCTCATATTCGCTGGCTGTTATCATAATAATGAGCATATATGTAGTACAAGCAATATATCTGCAACTTGTACGACACTAAGTAGTCTAGAATCGGCAACTACCTTTCCGTCCATGCTAAGCGTTCTGTGGGACTTGTGAGCTTTCTCGTGAACAGATACAGCAAAACTTTTTAGACTCAGAACATAATAAAAGTCATATTTTTCATTCAAAAGAGTTTTCCGGTTATGCGAATAAAAATGGTTTCGGTTTTTAATAGATAGGTTCCTTAAGACACGACAATTTGCCGGTACTGGATAATAGGCATAAATCAAAGATACTTAGTTTTTTTTTTTGTGAAAGAACCAGATGAACTGCGATTGGTCAATGGTACCTTCCCTTCAAATGTAACACTTGACGATCTACATATTTGTTGAAGAAGCTTGCCATTGCTGTAAGTTACGGATCGATTTAATCTATGTGGATTGAAACTCCTAAGTTGAATCTCACCATGCGTGTCGATTCCACAACGAAGACATAAAAAGCGGTCGTGAGAGGAAAAATAACGTTTTCTTTCAGGACAAGTTTCAGATGGGGCCGTTACGTTAGGCGAGTGAAATTTGGCTTATTAACAGAGCGACAGGAAGCGTTCGAGATCCCAAAAATAAAAGCTGCCATCGAAGATGCCATATGCACTAAGGGTGCTAAAGGTTCAGTGCCTGTTTACGTGTGCAGAAAAATATGTACACTATTTAGCACCCGTTCTAAACTAGGCGTGCATTTTTTGACGCGACGAACTTTTGTGCGATCAAAATTCGTCAACAATCACCGCCTTTCCTTTGACTACACAAAATATCCTGCGTTGCGCAATTAAAGGAACAGAAACGTTTATTGCACGCGTAAATTACTGTCCAAATACATGGCATTCATTGCGGACTCAATGGGTCTGGCAGCTACAGAGGTTCTGCCCAACAATCTAAGGGGCGGACGTGGTTGTGCACGAACCTTATCTTACATCCGCAGTTCTCCTAGCGGGCTGCTTTCTATGGGCTACTTTCTATAAAAGAGACTGGCCGATCCCGTTTAGTGCCGCATGCGCTGCCCCCTGCAACTATCAAAGCTACAACTGCTATCCGTCTTTCCCAGTAGTGTATTATTTCTCACAAGCCCACACCGCTTACGAAGAAGTAACTCGATAACGGCAAATGTAATGTTTTTCAGCGAATTTAACGATATCATACGTTCTATGCCCTCTCAAAGCGCGCCATCCTGCATGGCGCTTAATATCGAAACTTTATAGTAGCGCGGCATTTGCTATAGATGGGGTTATTGTTCTGCCTTGGTTCGTGGGCTCTTTCCTACTAAGCATATATAATACTTCGAGTTAGAAATTGCTCGCTATTTAAGGCTATTAGATATTATTTTAGACCGTTTGCGGTCAAATCTTAAATTACTGGATCTGTGATTATTTGCTTTGCTAAAAATAACCCCTATTTAAGATAGCCAACTTGAATTATTGATTCGCAACAAACGCTA